ACATTCTTGCACATTCCGCGCACATTCCTGCACATTTCGCTGTTTAGTAGCACATTTCGCTGTTTAGTAGCACATTCCTGCACATTTCGCGCACATTCTTGCACATTCCGCGCACATTCCTGCACATTCTTGCACATTCCGCGCACATTCCTGCACATTTCGCTGTTTAGTAGCACATTTCGCTGTTTAGTAGCACATTCCTGCACATTTCGCGCACATTCCGCGCACATTCCTGCACATTCTTGCACATTCCGCGCACATTCCTGCACATTTCGCTGTTTAGTAGCACATTTCGCTGTTTAGTAGGACCGGTTTTGTGTGTAGCGAATTTTGCGTGATTTTTATGTCGCGATGTTTTAATAAAATAAACGTGATTAAAGAGGAGAATACTGCATGACAAGTGTTTTTTAATGTAGGTAAGATGTTAATAAAGCGACGGCTTTAGGTATTTCTTTGATTTTCTATGTAACACGGCCGTAAATAGTGAAAAGGTTGTCGTGCATTTTGCACGACAGAATTCACAGGTTTTGTCTATAGAAGGCTATTGGGCCCTAAAATAACATCAGAATATAAAAATTTTTAGGGCACAATTTATTGGTCTAGTGCCTAACGTGCCTGTGTGCTGTGAGGCTGTTAGACCAATAAATTGTGCCCTCAAAATTTTTATATTCTGGTGTTATTTTACCTAAAGTAACACCAGAATATAAAAATTTTTAGGGCACAATTTATTGGTCTATGAGGCTGTGTGTGTGATTGAGAAACGGCCATTCGACATTTGATTTGGGCTTACCGAGCAAGTTATACAATTTAGTATTTACAAACCTCGTAATCACTCATTGTTACGATTGTGTACTTGTAGCTGTAACGAAACAACTAAGAGAGAAAATTAAAACTTCTGTTGACACGCTCGAATCACATAAAACGCTTTATTTCATACAGATAAAACACGTTGTTTGATAGTATCAGTCAAGTATCAGTAACAACCAAAGATCTTTGGTAACCAAGCAAATTCCTTTTGGAATGCACGTTGCAATGTGCCTAACGCAAATTCGGAATCGATAGCAACGAAACAAATTATTATCTGTGCTACCCGTAGTTATAAGTATTTATGTAATAAAAATGCTAATTTATTAAAAAAAAATATTATATGGAAAAAATTCAAGATAATTAACTTTGTTTAAAATAAACAATAAATCTCTGTTGATTTTACGAGTATCCGACTTTAGTTGTCACTGAAATTTTAGCCAACGTCAAAATTATAGCAACACGTGTCTATTTTCAACAGACTAGATCAAAAATGTTGTAAGAAAATATACCACTTGACATTGAGTTGTCTTTTCTTGGTCGTTATATAAGGCGCTCACGTGATTTTGTCATTCTCGTAAAATGTAACGTTCTGGCCAATGTTCCGGAAATGCGGGGTTATGATGCATTTATCGCAGTTCAAAATTTATATGACACAGCGTAAACATGTTGTTGATTTGCACGAAATTTGACGTCTCGTCACGTCTGTTTAGTTCTCATTCATTACATTATGATTCAGTATCATACACTCAATGCTAATACTAATTAATGAAATAAGCGATGGTTGTGTCTTTGCATGGTCATGTTAGAACTAAAAGTTTGGCACAACAAATTTTATCGTTGATCGGCATCGCGGTTCCCTTCATTTGTTACTGACACTGTGAGTGTGACTGTCGCTGAACTGTGAGTGCTGACTGAGTGACTCAGTGACTGTGTATCGTCATCCAACACTACAGTGTACACTCCTAGTCCAAGACTATCCCACTGGCACTGTCCCACTATGGACCCCAAATGTTAAATCACGATGGCTGCAGCACGTTCTACATTACAAAAGCTGGAACATTTATCTAGATGTCTAGCGTCAGTTACACAGCTTCTGACGCTCACAAGTCTCCCAACTGAAGTGCATTCAGCATTGGAGATAGAGGGTTATCTTGATTCTGCAGTAAAATCCCTGGAGCAAATTCAAGCTAAAATTTCAACTGATGGCAATGATGTTTCTAATTTGAATGGAACTCTGGATAATGTGGAAGAAGTGGCTTCACTTGATAGAAGCACTGCAGAAGATTCCGATGAGCAAGCTGGGTCACTAAATGAGGTCTGTTGGTGTTATTGCACATTGTATCATACATGTGAAGACATGTTGGCACAATAATTAGCACATCCACCTAGCGTCCATGTCAAAGCCAAAGGCAGGGTTCTCCCCAGGATGAAATTCAAACAGGGGGGAGGGGAGGGGTAGGGGGGGGGGAACTAGGGGGGAGGGGGAGGGGGAAAAACTAGGGGGTCGGCGGGGGGCGTGTATTTTTACCGTACGACTAATTAATGCGTAAATCGCCACCACACCATAGACGGTATTTGGGTTCTTGTATTATATAAGATAGCCGAGTCGGTGTACAGTTAGTGACAGGTTAACTTGTGTACTGTCTGCAGTGCATGCGTGGTACGGTAAAAAATACACCGTCGGGTGTCCTGGTCGACGGGTGTCCTGGTCGAACGGCAATTCTTGCCGTCGATTCCCGCGCTGGCCAAACTTTTATTGTGGTGGAATTTAAACGGGGCGGAGGTAATTCAAACGGGGCGCAAACGATTCAAACAGGGGAGTTTTCCCAAACGGGCGCGCGCGCCCCGTTTGCGCAACGTAGGAGAACCCCTGAAAGCTATTAGTATTACTAGTTGAAACCCCCAGTCGTGCATTGATTTTTATTAGCAGTGGCTACGGGTACAGTAGCGCGTATCTTAATGTCCTCGAGGCACGGTAATGGAGTCATTCGCTTTCATACTTAACGAGACAAAGATGGCGCGGTGGCGCCAGATTTCGAAATAACGCTTGGAAATAAATTCACGATTTGAGAGTTTAGATGACTAGAACTAACCCTAAAACCTAACCTAACCATAAGTAACCCTAAACCTAACCCTAACCCTAACCCTAATCCTAACCCTAATTCCAAAAAGGGGCTTCAACGACCGACGGCTACCGTACCTCCAGCCACTGCGGTTTTATTAATGTGTAAAAACCTAAGAACTGGGGACTGAGTTGAGAAACGTATGATTTCTAAGTAATAATTAAATGTACATCTGTTGGTGTTACCTTACCTTTAGTACTATATCCTTTGATATCCTCACCGTATGAAGAGTAAGTTATTCATTCTTTAAAGCCGCACACAATGCGCATCCAAACGCTAATCTCCAGTACTAGACTAGCAAATACTTCGTGTCATGCATAATCACACTGCCTTATGACAAAATAACCTCTAGTTGCTCCCATTTCATGCGCGTTCGCTTAAAACCCACAAGAAAGAGGTGAGAAAACTGCATTCTGGGCGCAAAACGCCGACTTGTTTGCAAACAATTTAGCCTCGAAGTGGTGAGGTGACGTCACATGTTTTATCTTTGCTACACTCGTATCCGGCTTACCGCAGCACCGCTGTACGGTTGCTTGGGAAACTCAACAATATCGGAGAATTTGAACAACTTGGATGTATTTTCAAATACTTTTTAAAGACCGCGCGCAGTGAAATGGGAGGAACTAGAGTTATTTGTCATAAGGTAGTGTGATTATGCATGACACGAAGTATTTGCTAGTCTAGTATTGGAGAAATTAGCGTTTGGATGCACATTGTGCGGCTTTAATGTCCAAATCACTCGAGACGGTATGGTTACTTAGTAAGTTATCCTACTCGCTGGGAATTCACAGTCACCAATGTTAAAATTATTATTTTTCACTAACCATGCACTAATAAAAAAGTATTAAAAATAATTGTTATTATTAAATTGAAAATATAATACCTGTAGACAAACTAGTTCTCACCTGTTAGTGTTAGCATGTACGTAATACTGATTTAATGTCAAAATCCTGTGGAACAAGTGCATCTGATTATGGCGACATAAATTGTTCTAGATGGTATCGTATCTCAACGTGTAGACAAGGTAACATGTGGCACAGTTGATTGCATCTCACCGAGATGCAAGAATTTGATGTTATTGGTGTTGAAATAAATAAACTCTAATTTTAAATGTAGATCATTGCACATATTGGAAAAATAATTATGTTAAGTGTTCTAAGGCATGTTAGTCATATGGTATACAATTGTATTATGCCAGACATACCAGTAGGTATTGACGCAGGAAATATGATACCAATTGACTAAACATGTAAAATCTATGACACAGTTTTACATGCTGGACAAAATCTATTGTCTGTATTAAAGTGATTTATAGTCACCTAAATAGTAAAAATACACAAAATATAAGTAATTCTGTTCACTTTTTATGGTAAATTGCTGCATTATACTACTTATTTTACTATATTGTTGATTGTGAACATGCATTGTGACTCATACATAGCCATCAAGCAATTAATTCAGGTAACACAATTATCAAATCGTCCAGGTTTTTTGATTTTAACTAGTTGAGAAACAATCTTATCAGGTAAGAATTTGACGATACGTTTAGTCCCGTTAGTTCTTACTTTTAAATGTAAAGAATGGCAAAAAAATTTTACAAATTTACCAATAAGAAATTCGTACGTAGTCAATTTAAAGTAACCGCCACATAAAAAGTTATTAATGCTTTACTAAAAATTATTGTTGCCACCAATGCTATTCCCATGGTCTATTTAATTTGGTCAGTTGTTGTCAGCCAAAGATATCTTTAATCATGATTGCATAATCCAGGTTACATATATTATATAAATATATATAAAATATACAATTTAATAGCACATATAAAATATGATTGCGCTAATCAAAATTGGGGCAAATATTTTTCAATATATTCATGGCATGTATTCAGGAGTGATCCTTTCTTGTAGTCTCAATTTACACATGAAGAGTTATCAGCAGCAGCAGCCGAACTGATGGAGGTTGGACACCGCAGAGTTTGATAGCGACTCTTGATGAAAGAGAAACAGCTTATATGGGACCTAGGCCAGTGAGAGGCAATCCGGTAGATGACTATGGTGAAAAAATATTTCAAATCAACTCTGTACATTTTTGTTGAATAACATGTTACCAGTGATTACGTTTTTTTTTTTTGTTTTT